GTGAAGGCAGTGTTAGCCCATAAGTCAATCTTCACCTTGAAACTCTAATTCTGTAATTAGATGAAATAGTACACAAAACATTTTGAATTTCATGGGCAAAGAACTAAAATCAATTCATCCTTCATCAGGTAGTTGTCTTTGAATATTTGGTCAATGAATATAATAAGTTTTTATTATATTATAATTGATTTTGTGTCTATTTTGATAAATTCTCATACAAGCTCATAAATAATACCTAAAATATTAAACAAGAATGCCAAGACAAGATTAAATACAACATAAGGCAATTACGCGCAACAGTCGTTCTTATTTTAACATGCGGCGTATCATATATTAAAGGTGAGTTGTGTTTCTTAACATACTAAGTCATCATAATAAAGCATCAGAATGGACTTCCAGAACAACACATAGACAACCTTATGACAAATTGCCTAAAGGAATGTTTACTAATAGAAAGTAATTTTTCACTTACCGCACTATATTATCGCGATTTTAGTTGCACAAAATATGTTCTTATTTCACCTCTCTCTTTTCATTTATCTAGATATTTCACGACGCGATTGATACGTTAAAAAGCTAAAAAATTAAATAGGAATGTTTACTTTTTAATAACGTATTTATATTTGCCATTACTTGAAAACATAGCGGTATAATGTGCAGAAGAGGTGTGTATCACAGAAAATATTTATTGCATGATTTATTCATTTTTGTAAAAGAAATATTAGCTTAAAATTACATTCACATAATTTTTATGAACACTTTAAACTTTTGATGTTATATTACAAACTGGTTCACCTTACCAAAAAAAACATTTTAATTATTTTCTGATGCTTGTATAAATATTTTTATTCTATCTTCTTTAAGACTTCATAAAATTCTTGAAAAGATGATCTCTTTCCTAATTACATTCAATGATTGATTTTGCTTTCACTATACCAAAGTTTTGTTTGTTTCGTTCATCAGTAATGGTTGTTTTCATTACAGAAAATAGGCATTCAGCATATGGCTTGCTAACTGGATTGAACGCCGCCGTCAATATGATTTTGTTCTGCAATTTTGAACAGTAATTTGCGTCATACGCTGATGTATCGTCTTACGTAAAAGCACATAACTATAATATAGTGTCATACTTCGGCATTTTACTTACCTGACTTACCTCGTATGGTGTAATAGTTAGTTTGCCCTTGTGCTTTGAAATGCGGGGATGGAATCATGCGTGAATTCAGGTTTCATCATACTTAGCACAATAAAATACGGTATAAATTAGAACTAATTAATTTACTGGTTGTTCAAAAAAAACAGGGAAGCGAAGGGGATATCAAGTAGCAATGGGGGATGAATTCGCAAATGATTTCCTTATATCTAGACATAACCTAAGTTACATCAATGAATCCTTCAGGGTTGACCCTGTTAGGGTACGCCTCAGGTGCATAATAGGCTCAGCTGACATAGACGCTTTTCTTCAGCGGCGGAGGTGGTGGCGGTGATGTGGTTGAACCAAGTCCTCAGGCGTTCCATGCAGTTCCGTGCAGACCCCCACCTTTGAAACACCATCCACTGCTCCCCAGTTTCCGTTGTCTGTCCGCCATCGGCTTCCTATCAGAGCAGATCACTCGCAGCAAGACGTGACAGCGATTTTTATCTTCTCGGCGTGTGCCCACACGACTCGTAAACTTTCCTTCGAATGGGACTCGTAATTCGAGTCGCATGTGGCCCCGCCTAATTGGCACGTATTTTTGTGCATCTGCGCACCCTAGTGTTACGGATCTAATGAACTTCCTACCGGCAGCAGGGTATGCTCACGTAGGCCCCAGCGATCGTGTCTCCAATATAATTCATCTGCTTTCCACTTAAACCAACGTTGATGTTTTTCTCCTCACTCTTGACGTAGTGTCAAATAAAACACTTAAAGTTCCAACAAAAAGAAAATATATTAATCGGAAGTTCGGGATGGCTAATCAATCGGAAAACTGTTACCTGCTCTAAGATTTCTCAGATATCTTATTTTGTATTCATGAATAACCACAGATTAATTACATCTCCAAAGTTTCCGCGATCTTCTAAACTCTTGAAAAATCTACTAATTGGGTATGTTAACAAGAATTTCACTTTAAATATCACGACTTAATCATCGGGCGTCCAATTCTTTAGCCTCTCGCCAAACAATCCTCACTTCCACAGCAACCCGCCACAAACCGCAATTCTATCTCTTACGAGTTGATACACTCGTATCAAGTTCTATATTTTCATTTCGTAACACCAGCTATCGATTACTCGCTCTGCGACGCTTTGGCCTTAAGTGAGACGGCTTAGCCTGATGTGTAAGGCCCGGAAGTTAACGAAAAATCATATTTTTATTTATGAGCCTTATTTTATGCTAATTATCAAATGTCCAAATATTAAAAAATAAAATAAGATTCCGGTCATGCACACCAAACACGTAATGTCAAAACCTCGTCTTCGATTGTTTTTTTCAAAAATGGACCCTTTATAATTTTATTTACACAACGTATGTATGAACATACATACGTCGAAAAACTAGCACATGAAAAAGTAATAATATGAGGCTTTTGTTTAATCACGGGGTCAGTGAAGAAGTGTAGAGTTTAATGTTGCAACACGGGGTCAGTGAAGAAATGTAGAGAGAGAATACACGAGTATCATAAAGTCTACCTAACGGACCTGATTTACACAGAAGACAACTGCGAAGCGGCTAACTTATTAGTGGTGGTGATGGTGATAGTAGCAGTGGAGGTGCGAAGTTAAAGGAAGTTGTGAGATATTGGTGAAATAACGAAGGTTGCGTGGTGGTAAGCTTGCGTGGTGATCAGGGGAAGGGTAGTAAGCTTGCGTGGGAGTAAGATAGTGCTGGTGCAGAGGTGGAGGAGGCCCGATGATGGTGGTGGAGATAGTCATGATGATGATGATGATGATAGTGGAGTTGTTGCCGCTGTGTCGAAATTTTAAAAAAAAAATGTTTATAATTATTTATACTAATATAACTTTTTGTGTAAAGACAGATTTTTATATCTGCATTTATGCTGGTGGAATTAATATGTTGGCCCTCTTCAGAGTATGTACCTACGGCTTCAGTCTTGAGGAAAGTGGCAAACAATGTAAGAAATGCGTATCAATGAATGGAGTGAAGCAAATAATTAATAAAATGTACTGTCTCTTATCGTGATCGAAATATATGTTGCAATTTTGAAATTACCTTTATTTTGAAACTGAAATATCTAGATATACTTCAAAATGACAAAGATGTGTATGTTCTGTTCTCAGCAGCCCATCTCTGAAAGATGGTGCTTCAGTAACAGAACTCAATGGACCAACATTTAACCATTATACCTGGGAATAAAACCCAAAGTGAAAATGTCTTCCTTAAATGTTAGTGTTTCAAATATTTCCAGCTCTCAAATATATGGATAGTGAAACCGGTTCATTCATTGGAATGTCTCTCTTCACTGATTATTGGCTGGAATGTGTTACTTTGGGATATGGCAACAGACTATTCAAAGACATGGTCATTTAAATTAACTGAGCACCGTAAAGTAAACAAAACAGGGGGCGACATGAATCAGCGTCGCTTACTGAGAATGATTCCAAAAAAATCTATATGTATGTATGTATGTATGTATGTATATATGTATGTATGTCTGTATGTGTTTCCACGAATTGGTAATAAAAAATGACGAACGCGATCCGTAGGAAAGTGTCATTTGCTGACTCATTTCCCAACATTTCATTCGTACGCCGAAGACATTTACTCGCGTCAAATGCCTATTCAGTTGCAGTTGGAGCACGCGGGCAGCTGACTGGGGCTGGGCTGGGGCGGGGGGTAGACATAGGGCGGCTGCGGGGGGGGGAGCGGGTGGCGGGGTCGGGAGTGGGCGTCGCGGTTAGGTCGGATTTGGGGCGGGGGCGGGGGAGGGTCGCGGGCGCGGGCGGGGGCAGGAGCGGGGACGGGGAGGTGGGCGAGGCGGGGCGTGGCCGAGTCGCGTGGGATCTGAACAAGTCCACGGGGCGCGCACATCGTTAAGGGGGGCACGCGCTATTCTTAGAAGGCGGCGCGGCGTCCTAACACTGCCCAGACGCGCTCCGCCGCCTGTCGATGAGCGAACGCAGCCTCGCGCGCCTAATGAGCAACCGCCACGCCACCCCACCCCCTCCTGCTCGAACGCTGCTTCCAACACTTTTGACGTAAAACGTCTCGAAAATCCGACCGGAGCAGCGGTGGCGGCTGAGGCAGGGAGTCCCCGGGGACACTGTCCTTCCACCCCGAGTTAATATTAGCATGTCCCCCCTCATGCAACGGGAGAGGTGGCTCAGGGCACCAAGTGATATCACAGAATCGTCTCTGACTGGGAGGTAGTAGGTCCGAGTCCCGGCTGTGACAGAATTTTCGACACTGGCTAGATAGCTAGGTCTGGAGGAGAATTGTAGCGAACGGCTGCCCTGATCAGTCGTTTTCGTGTTTTCTATGATTAATACCTCGCAAATGCTGGTGTAGTACTCTAGCAAACGGGCCACGGACCGCGCGTGATCTTTCCTTCCTCATCCTTGATCTAACCTCACCATTCACTTACACACACAAACACACACTTACATGCACTTCAGTACCACACATCCCGGGAGACCGGTCGAGAGCTTAGAGCGTGTTCCGGCTGGAGCGGCGCCCCGCTGGTGAGAGATACCTGGTTGGGGAAACCCCGTTAGCCGACGGAAGGTCGGCGCCGAATCTCACCATCCAGCGGGAGACGATCACCGCCACACCCCAGGAAAAACGTTCAGTGGAGACCTTAGCAGCTGAAGCGCCTGTATTTACGATTCAATCGATCAATCCTCGTGCTCTTCAAAATAGTAGTGTCCGTTGAATACACCTATCCATCTTTTTGAAGTTGTCTTCTATACGGAAGTATACGTAGAATTAATAATCGAGCTTGTTTTCCGCTTTCGTTTCAATGGCTACAGGCGCTCGCTGCTGCGCCCTAAACTCAGCGATGTGGTCGGTGTTCAGTGAATTACACGCGTTACAATCTCCTCCTGTTAATGCTGGAATTGCAACATGGCGGTCGCTCATGGCGTCTCGTGAGGAGCGTTTTGTACTTTCTCGCATTCTACATACGAATATGGCGGCCATCACTGTCCCCTAAAATTAGTACCCGATTTGAGACTGCAAGGTTTGGTTCCCATACACTAAAAAAGTTGAAAAACCATTATTACAGATACTTTAAAACTTATTCGTTAACTAACGTGTATACAGGGAAATAATGTAATGTACATGTAATGCGTGTTTTCACGATTAGAGATATATTTCAAAACAAATACCATTCCGCAATTTTTTTTAGTGTAAGAAGTATGTCGAATCATGGCCAAAAAGAGGGTGCCTTTGGAAATAGAGTAGAGGGAGGGAAAATAAAAAGATTAGGATTTGAAAGCTGAACCAGACGTGTAATGTAACAAAATGATGAACAAAGAGGCAAATTAATAACAACGGTGATGACTCTTAAAAATGAATTCCTTTATAGATGTTTTGTTAATTAACGTCTTAGGTACTGAATTATGTCCTAGTTTGCCTCTTCCCTTACGGTTTCCCAATCCCAACTCTGAATACAACCCCCAAAAGCTGCTTCAACGTATTTGCAACACTGATACATTTTATGTACTTACTGTTTATTGACTTATGGGGCATTTTTTTATTCATTGGAATTACGGTTTCTGAAGTGGATAGAAAAAAAGTAAAACAAAAATGCCAAATTCCATATTACCAGTATTTTGTGTTGAAGTGCATCAAAATTATGAAACATAGCTTTGACGTGCAGTACCTTTGTGTGTATGTGTGCGTAGGGCGAGACCTCTTCCGGTCCATCGTTTGAGTGGTCCCGAAGTGTGGTGGTGAAGAACAGGCCATTTTTACGTGGTCCTTCGTGAACATTCTCTTGTAAATTACGAAAAAGATAGGAATATAATTTCAGGGACTAACTACTGACTCCCTTAAAGTTCATCTGAGTGAACCTGTTCACACGCACGGCCAAACGTCCGTGGTGTGTTCCTGAGTTAAATCCTGGGATTCTGTGTTTATGTTAGAAACAAATGTATTCCTGAAAATTGTCACTTTTTTAAGAGCTGGTGCTGTGGAGGACCATGACTTGCACTGTACAGGAGGTCAAATGAGTAACGTACAGATGCAGCCCACTTCTTGCATTGAAATGAGTGATCTTTTCGGAATTGATACTTCTTTGAAATGCATGTTTCGGAATTAAAGTGTTCTTAGGTTATTGGCCAATTTAAATTGCTATGAAAAGAAGTAGAGGTTGTTTTCGTACGAATAATGAAATAAAGTATTTAATTTGACATATTTTCATTTTCCACCAACGCAGTTCCTGAACCTTTGAACCGAAGTCCCCAATCACGAACTTTTTCAGGTTCGCACTCTGGTCCTGCGTCGTCCTCGCCACCCGATTGTCATCCCCTTCCTGATCCCACTCCCCATCCTCATCCCTTGCCCTTCTTCTTTCTCTTCCCCATCCCATCCCCTTCCCCATCCCATCCCCTTCTTCTCTCTTCCCCATCCCATCCCCTTCCCCTTCCCCTTCCCCTTCCCCTTCTCCTTCCCCTTTCCCTTTCAATTCTCCTTCCCCGTTCCCTTCGCCTTTCCCTTCCCAATCCGATTCCTTTCCTCACCCAGTCCTCTTTACCATTTCTATCCCCATCTTCACCCGATCCCCTTCCCAACCCGCTCCCTTTCCCAATCCGATCCCTTTCCCAACCCGATCCCTTTCCCCACCAAATCCCATTCACCAATCCCTTCTTCATTCCTTTTCCCATTTCCTTCCGCACCTCCTTGCACATACCCATCCTCTTCCCCATTGCCTTCTCCATTTCTTTCCCCACCTCCACTTGATCCAATTCTCAACCCGATCTCTTTCCCCACTCAATCCCATTTCCCAACTTTTTCTCATCTCTTTCCCCATCCCTTTCCTCATCTCCATCCCTTTCCCCATCCTATTCTCCATCCCCTTCCTAATTTCCTATCCCTCTCCTTTCCTTGGCTTCCCCTCTCGCTGAGTTGGCGCCGCGTCGCTTGGCCCGCCGCGGGGAATTAGCTCCCGGCCGCCGCGTTCGCGTCGTGTTTCCGGCCGCCCGCCCTCTCGCCCTCTCGCTCGGGGGCGCGGGCGCCGCTGCCGCGTGATTCACTCCCGTCACATGGGGAGGGGGAGGAGGCGCTCAGATTAGCCCCCGCCGCGCTGCGCCGTCGCCCGGGCGCCAGATTTATGCCGTCAAGCAGCGCACTTCTAAGTGATTCATACGAGCACACCATTTTCATAAAGAGCTGACGCAGAAAAAGTGAATTGAATAGAATGTTCTATTCTTACTTTAAAAAATATTATTATGGATTCTCAAGGGAAAAATCGCGGTTTATTTATTTATTTTATTTCTTTACATGAACATCAGAAGTTAACAACACTAAACTCTACAAAGATAAACATAGTTAACATACATACATACATACATACATACATAAATATAGTATGTCTAGTAAATAGTTAGAAACTAAAAATCATAAAATCTTACAATAACTACAACTTATAAAGTTACAGTGATTATACGTGTGTGGTTATCCTTTAATCATTCAAATAATACAATATTTATCAAATTCCAACTGTTTATTGTTTTAGTATTTACATTGTCTGTACAAGGTTATAAGCTTATTTAAAATATGTATAACTAAAAATTGCTATTGTATCCTTCTACATTACACCTTCAAGATAATAGTATTGGTGTTTGTATTGGTGTTTCTAATAATCTTCAACTTTCCGTTCCTTGTTACGAAAATTTAATGGATTTTTTAAATTACAAATTAAAATTAATTTACAAGCTTTAATAAGTTATTTTGGAATTTTTGTAATACTTTACTTCAAGGTAATAAACACCACCATATGCTATAATTTATTAGCGGTGTATGCTATGAAATAAAACGCACTGAATCAGTCTCAGTGTGTCAGTTTGCTCAAACGTAGATATATTTGGAAATAAGAACATTAGATATTTTGTTTTATTCGCAATATAATCAAAGCCACTATATTTCCATTTCATTCTTTAATCAAATTTGACTCTTGATTAGCACATACCTACTTTCTTTCATTATATTTTGCATATGACCATTTATAATTATGTCACAGATTCTAGGAACGACGTTTTAGTAGATTTCAAAAGTTATGTACACTGTTTTATTGACATTAAGCGCCAGCCTTTTGCATTTCATTTGCATCAAGATAATTATTCATTTATTATTATCCAAAACTACAGACCAAGCGTTATCAATTATGTATTACTGAGTAAAAATTATTGAGTAAAATATAATATCACATTTTCCGTCAAAATACTAAATTGGTCATTAATATGTAGGACAAAAAACAATGGCACAAGAAAAGTACCTTCAAGTACTTCTGAATTCATTCTCTTGCAAATTGTTAGAAATGTGTTTACGTGCACAACATCTAAAACAACAATTGTTCAATTTCTCAAAAGAATCTAATGCTTTGCAGCGTCGAAAGTCTCAGCCAATACTGAAAAAGGATCTTATATTCCGTAACCTATTCTTTTCAATAGTCCCTCCTCTCCACGGTATCTGTCGCTGTTGCGGCGGTCCGGCCGTCCGGCCTCCAAGACAATGCCGAGCTTCAGGTGACGTCGCCACAGCACCTGACAAGAGTAGTTAAATAGCCACTGCAGCACAAAAAGATCTCTAAGTTAGGTATTTTTCTTTCGACCTCCTAAGGTTTCTTAAGATCTCCAATTAGGTTGTGTTTAAGTGCGCTGGTGATGTTGAGGCTAAACGAACTCGAGGCTTTCGGAGTTTCAAATATTAGTATATAGTATATTAGTATTAGTGTGCATTACATGAAGTTTCAAAAACCTTTTACATGAAGCTTCAAAAAAATTGCTCCAAATTGTTTGATTAAATTTTTTCTCGGATTGTGTAAAGGACGCTTATGAGAATGATGCGGTCTCATGTTCATTGAAATCCCTGATTTTTCAAAAATTGCAAAAGTGCAATTATATTTAAGCGTTTTGCTACAGCTATATTTAAGATTTCAAAATGTTTATAATTTTGGGCGTAAAATAGGTAATTTTAAATTTTAAAAATAATTTTCCCTCAAAAACCCTTCAATATTTCTTTTTTTAATTTTCTTCTCGTGTGTATCTAACGACGGTAAAAATAGAGTGCTAGACCAATTTTCGGCAAACTCTATACATTCGAATATTGCAAAAATATATTATTGAAGACAGAGATTTTTTACTGACATAAAATCGTTTCTAAAAAATTAGATTTAAAAAAAGTATAATATTTTTTGAAGGAACTAATGTTTTTCGTTTAAGTTCTCCTTAAAATCAATGCAATCAATAAAACGTTTTCTCATAAATGACCCAAATGTTTTCTTAAAATTTCTTTGGCTGTATAACTTATTTCTTTGTTCTGTATCAATATCTATAAATTTTTGTATTTGATTGTTTCTGTGGTACTTTTTACAGCAAAAAATTATTTTACCCCTACTTTTTGTTTACCACACTGTTTTTCTTTTAATTTTTTTGCATTTTTAAAGTTTCATAATTTCAATTTTTCCGAAAACATTTTTCAATATGTTATTGAAAATTTCTGAAGAGTTTGTAATTGCACATTTCATGAATAATGTTCGGTTTACATTTTCCTTTATTTTGTGGATTATTATTACTAACTTAAATACATTTATTTGACTAGTAATAGCTTTTACCATTTCACCTTTTTGTTTATTACATTCACATTTCTCTTTGCATAAACAGAATGATACGTTATGGTCCGAAGGGAAACGACGAATTGTTTGAAGAAAAAGCATTGCAGATTCCTGGTACCGAAAAAAGGGATAATTATTGCACATATATGCAGTAAGTTACTTCTTATATCGTAGTGTGTGGCCAAAATAGGTACTTTGCGTGTCCTTGAAGCCGAAAATTTAATTAAGAGCAAAACCGTCCGTTCGTATGTCTGACCGTCTCTGAATAACACCAAGATTTTCTCGATTTTTTTTTATATTCTCCGATCGATGTGGTCCCTTCAATTTGAAATGGTTGTTTTAATTTTGGGGTGCTTTATACAATGATGCACACAAAACATTTTCGAGCTTTTCTAAAAAATGCTTCATATTTTTTCTTTAATTTATTTTCTCAGGGAGAACGAAGTACACTTACAAAAATGGCATATGCCCATTTTTTTCGTCTTTTTGCAACTAGATTATTCAAGATATGTGATTTTTCTTAATGAAATCTATTATTCAAGATTAGATCTTTAAATAATGTCATGCCCATTTTTTTAAATGGTATTTTTCGTGTAATTTTGTCTGAAATAAAGTCAATTTTAAAAACAATGAAAATTCTCCAAACGTTTTCTTTAAACATTTGAATGGATTTATCTAAATGCACTGAATAATATGACATAAATATTAATATGGTGTCACTTTTTTAATTTTCAAAACTTATGCAGATGTTTGTTCAAGTTATATTGTATTACGAAACCCTTACAAATATTGCGATAAAATACTGCTGTTGTAGAACTACTAGTTTAAATTTTATTTCATTAATGTTAGTAGTAAATCATTTTCACGAAAATTGGTTGTTTTGATACTGGATTCCCGTTACTTTGGCATGTGTTGGTTGTTTAATTTGTTCAACATTTTCTAGCCGCTTTTTTAATTAGGCAATTTTTTTTGTAGTAATACATTATGTTTCTCTATTTCAATAATCCATCTTTTTAGTAAATTATCATCAAGAACGTTGTTTTTTGTTACCAAGAAAATTGGTTTTATATTGTCAAGAAGAACCAAATAATTAATAGTATCTGTAATATATAAAATATTTTCTTTTATTTTAATATATTTCGTGTCATTCAGTAATGTAAAGTATTTCTTAAGTTTAAGAAGAAAAAACGTTCACATTGATGGTAAATTCATTTCATTTTTCATCCCCAATGCTTTTCGATTGTTAATTTCCAATAGTCATTAAATTCTTTGTTTTACTTTTATAATAACTTGCACAATGACGGAGGCGACATTTCTAAAGGGAATGGATAAATAAAACGAAGGTGTGTTTTGTCATTCTGGACGCATACCAGCAACTGAGAAAGAGGAAATTTTTAGGGGACGGCCGTGTCAGGAGGCGCTTTCGGAGGACGTACCGCACGCTGCACGCGGCATACTCAGGGACTTGACGACATTCCTGCGGGCGGCAGACAGCTCCCGGGCCGCGCGCCGCCGCACAACAACTCCAGTTCCTTCCACACACGTCAGGCGCCGCCAGTTGTTACCTTAAGGTAGAGCGAGCAACGGCTGCCGTGGACGGGGCCACCTGCTGCTGCCGTCTCGGGGACAGGCCGGCCCCACCCTCCTCCCCGCTGGCGACGCTCGCCAGTTACGCTGGTTCGTCGGACGCGTTGCCGACTGTTGTTAAGGGGCCCTGATTAACTCCGGACGTATATGCGGGCTGGTGGGCGCGGCGTTTCGGCGCGGGTTGAGCGGGGCTGTGGGTGTGGGCGTGGGCGCGGGCACAGGCGGGGGCGAGGGCGGCGGGCGAGGGGCGGGCGGAGGGCCGCGGGCGCGGGCGCGGGGCGAGGGCGCGGGCGTGGGCGTGGCTTGGGCGTGTGTGTGTGTGTTGTGTGTGTATTCGTATTGTTCATGATCTGGACTTCATTTTACCTCGCCACGCTTCCAAAGCCAAACAGTAAGCTGGTCATCATCTGTAATATGGTCAACATCTTCCGAAAAAGAATGGTACCTGTGCTGAGACAAAGGATACAACGGGCAAGAATATGGGCAAATACTGTGCCGAGATAGACGCACGCGATATTCAGGGGCTTGTTGCTCTTCACTGGGAAAGACCTCAAAAGAGCGATTAGGACCGCAAGAGGGCCTGGTTGGTGGTTTAGCCACAGATATATAGCAGGGGAAGAGGGCAGTACAATGTCGTCAAGCTAGCTCCGATTCAACAGAACAAGAAATTAACTACACGAAAAAGTCTGTTTCATTTGGTAACACTGATCGTTTCACATTTTCTCTACATTTTGGACCCCGAAAAGCAGAATAAAAATTCGACTTCAAGAGTATTACAAAACCGAATAACGTGGTTAAATGTGAGAATTTTCATTGTAAATTTTGAAATTATTTTACACAAAATATTGTTTTCAGCGTTCCTGAAAATGAGCAATTTTGAGCACAGTTTTACAAAAAATTTTGAATTTTCGAGAAACTTCACATGAAGCACTTGTGCACTTGTGCTACAATTACAGTGATATGTAATAAACGCCCGTAATTTATTATCAACGCGAAGACGTATCAAGAAAATTAAATTTGCATAATTTAAAAAAATCCAAAGTACTCATAAAAATATCGTTTTATGTTACATTTTAGCGCCATCTATTCACAAAGTTTAAAAGAAATTTGAAGCGTTTTTTCATATTATTTTAATATTGCTCATATTCCTCTCGAAATTGCGAGACAAGTCAATATTTTTAAAACATACGCATGCATTTGTTACCGGACAGTTAAGGAGGACAAATTTCATTTTAAAAGTCTCAATATTTAATATTGTAGTTGTAGGAAAACAGAAAGCAGTTGAAAGTTTGCATTTTTGAAAACTTGAAAGTTAACTTTGAAACTCAAACCTACTCCATCTTAAAGGAAATTTAAAGAAAAATTTGGAGTCATTTTTGAGAAAATTGTAAATATCCCAGAGATCTCATGTCAAATTCCCCCCAATATTTAAAACTTTAATTTTGTTCTTGTTTCAAAATTTCAAAAGTCTTAATCTTACTTTCTGGTAATAGAAAAAGAATTACAACGCAAAGTGACTGCAGAACGTCTGTTTGTCCATTGGTCTGTGACCGAGGCTACCGCCTAAACCAAAACTGATATTCTCCGATCTATCGGAACGAACTCGAAGTCCTACTCCGAACTCGAGTTTGAAACGGATGTTTTAATTTTTAGGGGTATTTTACATGAAGTTTCAACATTTGCAAAATATTGTCAAAAATGGCTTCAAATTTTTGGATTAAACTTTTTTCTCAAATAGCGGAAAAGACTCACGAGTCATATTTTCGTTTAAATCCCTGTTTTTTTGAAAAATGAAAAGTTTTCCTCCAAGAAAAGTATGGAAAATAGATATTTTTCTCCATTAAATTCTTGTTCAGAGATAGATCTTGAAATAAGGGCATACACAAATGTTCAAACTTTCGTTTTTTCATAATTTTGCGTTAAATCAATTATTTTCTCAAAAATGGCTCCAAATTTGTTAAACTATTCTTCTCGTTTATATCAAAGAACAACATAGATATTGGTGCTGGCCGCACTTCGGTTAACTCAAATTTTACAAAAGATTTGCAAAAGCAAAAATTTACCATTGCAAAAGCAAAAATTTACCATTGCAAATGTACAGTATTGAAGATTTATATTTTTGCCTATAATGAAATTTCTTTTAAAAAATAATTCATTAAAAAAGGACGCGTATATTTTTGTGAAAAAAGTAATAGTTTGGAGCATTTTTTTATTCGAAGTAAATGCAATTCATATAAGAAAAACATTTTCCCATGAAGCGTTGCAAATATTTTTCTCGTGTGTAACAAGAAACAGTAAAGAAAAGGGATATGGTTTCGCCTTTGGTGAACACTCTGTATTTACGAAAATTACTGAACATTACGTAATCGCTACTAATACTGCAAGAAAGTACGCACTGTTGTAGCACCACTAGTTGCCGTTTCTTTTTCTCGAAGCCTACTCTTGAAGAGCGGCGAGTTCCGAAGGCGATGTCGTTAGCGGCGCGGCGATAGCCCGTTCCAACCCACTTTTCAAGCACGCAGGTCAAGGTGCGAATAATGGGGCGGGTAAATCAGCGGCGAGTGCGCCGAGGCGACGGTGCTGACATCTGTCCTCGCGCGCCGACGTCGCCGCGCCGCGCCGCGCTTGACAGCCGCTTTTTGCGCCGCCGCCCCCACCGCCGCTGCCGCCGCCCCCGGTGCCCTGCTTCCGACTTTCCAAGAGCGTCGAGACCAAGTGCCCGTTAAAGGGTTTTCAGGGAGATCGGGGGATTATTTTTTTCACTTCTGCAGCCAGATGTTTAAACAAGAATGGTACTTCTTGACAATATTTGACACTTTTTTGAGGTGGCTCAGAGTACCAACTGATGTAACTACAGTGCCTCCGACCGGGAGGTCCTAGGGGTTTGTGCCCCGACCAGAGCACGAGTTTTTGACACTGGTTTCATAGCAAGGTGGAATTCAGCCTCTGCCTAGAGAATAATTCTAGCGGCCGGCCACTCTGATAGTTTTCTGGGGTTTCTCCTATCACCAGACAATTGCCGGAGCAGTACCCTATCAAACGGGCCACGGACCACCATCTTTCCTTCCTCTTCCTTGTTCGAACATCACTTCTTACATGCATTACCCTGTTGTACCCTGCTGTAGTCAGGAGCTGGGAGCTGGCCCGTGGGAGATACCTTGATGGGGTAAACCCTCTCAACCCACCATGTAGGATATCGTTTGCGAATTAAGAACACCGCCACCTTCCGTGATAAAACATTTACTACACTTACAGGTCATATGACCATAGCAGTTGACGCCTCTAGGAACTCGAAATAATCAACCGACGGAATGTAGAATTACATCCTTGAAACTTATTAAGTTCACAAAATGTACGATGGACAGGAAAGGAATATTGGTAAAGTTGAAAATCAAGTTTGCTTTTTATAGGTTTCGGTTTTATAGAAAGATGTAAGTAAATTATATTTATAATTTATATGATGTGTTAACGACGCAATTTATCGTAAGTTTTTGTTGTAATTTCTATTATCTTCGCCTTTGGCAAATCTATTGTCTATTGTCAGTGGCAGTCTTATCTATTGTCTTTGGCAGTGAAATAAAACTAGTGGAGCTACAACTCCACATAATTTATCGCATTATTTGCAACTTCTACGCAATATTATACTACTGCATAAACCAGCAAAAGTGTTTCCAACCTTCATAATTTTTTTCTTCGCGCCATGTTTCAAACTCAGGTTTTTCAAGTTACACACCAAGCACGTAGCCACTCGCGCGACTACACTCATCTCGCACGACGCTTAAAAAGTTGTGGTTCCTCTTATTATTTTTAACTTGGGCATCTTTCACTACTTCAGAGTCAAATGAAAATGAAACCCGCTCTACTTTTTAAACTTCCTTAACTCTATACGTGAACAAAATTCCAAAAACACTTGAAGCCGTTTTGAGATTGTTTTATAAATTGCATTAATTTATAAAATACCAGCCTCTATTACATTTGCAGAAATTATGCGGATATTACTCGGTTTTTCAGAACATTGTACAAGTTAATTACAAATATAATATTCCAGAATGTATTTCATTTAATACAAAATCTCAATCATCAACTTTGTACTTTTGTTATGTTATTTTTTTTTTGCAATTTTCGAAAAAACGAGTTGAACGAAAATGAAAACAGGAATAGTTTTTTTTACCTTCCTTTGCTACAAATAGAGAAAAAGATCAAAGAAAAAATTGGGAACCGTTTTTTTAAAAATAATGGTTAAATATGGTTAGGTCACGTCTTAGCGTACTAGTTGTATTTTTTTCCATTAAACCATTTAACTAACTTAAACAACGAAACACAACTTAGCAAACCAAGTATACTTGAATTAGATTCTATGAAATCTGTCACGTACATTTTATTCACTTTAACACACAAACGTAATTTGTTTAGGCGAGTTTATGTTAATTCAGCGTCATGTGATGCAAAACATTATAAAATGTGCCTTTTGTTTCTTATAATTTTAAATAATTTGTGTCCTACCCTTAACAATATCACCGTATTTTCTACCTGTACATTTCTGGTTTTCAAGGATGGCATTCTCATTAGCAAACTATCTTGAAACTGCAATTCTATTGGCAAGGTTGTCCTATGAAATAATTCGCGCATTACCATCATATTGCTTTCGCACACGAAATCGGCGTCAGATCGGTTTCGCGCATGAAGGCGAGCACAGTTCGGTTTCGTGCATGATGTCGAAGACTGATCGGTTTCGCGTACGAAGTCATGACAGATCGGTTTCGCGCACGAAGTCGAGGACAGAACGGACCATCAACCAGTTCCCAAAGATGAGAAGAAGGGATTCGCGAACTTCATGTGAAAGCTCCAAACCGAGGCAACGCTTTAGTATAATAGACTTCAGTATTAGTAAACCCTTGCCAGAGGAGTAACTCTAGATATAACTGTTTGATGTGATCTGAAAATGCGTCTAGTCGCAGGAAGGTGTCATTACAATTCACCGCTACATA